GCTCTATATACAGTTTGCTTTAGTTTTGTAAGTGACTATATGCACAGTTCATTCAAACTGAGGTGATGTGAGAGTGGAACCATTTCCTACTTGTTTATCACCATTTGTGACAGTTACCACTTCAGTGTATTGGTTATTATGCCATTTCAACTTAGTTTTCATCAACTTGAAATTTTAGTTTCAGAGTAAATTAACAACATACTGAATCAAGTGTATAGTGTTATTAGTAGGGTGAAATGTGAACATTCTCATCAAATTGTTCAGCTCAAAAGTCTCAAAGTTTCTTAAATCTAGGTAGCTGTAAAAATGCTAAAACCAATCACATTAGGGTAAACATGGTTGTCTTCATTTAATCCATTCAGCACAATATAAAATAAGAAGCACAGTTACATGACTAATAAAACTTGAAAAATTTTTATACTGTGGGGTTGCTGATAACTCCTGAGGATTTAATGCATTAACAAAAATCAGCTGACCATTTTCTACTTGTTTTCAGTGTGTTAGAAATTATAAAATGATACTGTAGACATTGTCCCCTACTTTGAAAACTGAATGTCAGGGCTGAATGAACCAAAGCTTCTATGTAGAGGCCAAGGTACTCTGAATTTTAATAGCTGCTTACTCATCACCAATAATTTTTTCTTATGCTGTGTATGGTTATGGCCTACAATGTTGTATTTGTTATTTATCAGGTTGTGATTGTTTTATTATTGTGTATGCCAAATGTTAATTGCCATGCTTGGTGTGACATAAAGCATTTTTTAACAGCATGACTAGATTTACTTCAGGATAAATTATCTTATGAAAACCAAATTTCAAAAGCCACAAGTGTTGTTATAAAATAACATGTTGCCATTATTGATTGCTAGAGCTTTTGTTAGCACTTTAGATGCAACTGAAACTATGCTTTATTACATGTGAAAAGCTTAATAAATTCTGTATATCAGCAGTATAGGTCTCAATATTTATTATGACACCAGTGATGGCTTGGAAACAGCTGTTGTATTAAACAGTCAACTGGTGTCTACACTTTTAAAAAGACATTTATGTAACCATCCTATAAGTCATTGCTTAATGGTATCTTACTTATTGTAAGTTATTTCCTTAAAGAGGCTTTAGGGTGAAGGACTGACCTGCGAGAATGCATGTGTAGAAATTTGTCATTTTATAGAAATATTATGGTTACTCGCATAACTGTTAAATTATTTTTCTACCAACATGCCCTTCATTTTATCACATCTTTTCATCACATTGTTTTTGGTTGGCCTGCCCTGTTACTATTTTTTTCAAGATAACAAAATGAAGTTAAGATGGCAATTTCTTTAGTTGAGTGAAATATCCTAAAATCTCTTTACTATATGGGGAGAAATGATAGACATAGCCGTGGAAAGTGGGATGGGTGTGTGTGGGTGTTGGTTATAGTTTTCTAGACATCTGCCTACACTTAAACTAAAAGATGATTTAATATATTGCAAACTACTTTGCCTCTTAAAAGAAGTAATGAATAGTAGAGGGAGGATGAATTTAGAAAAATAAACAGATAAAAAAATTTAGAAATATTATTCAAACTGGTCTTTGTGGAGGAGTCAATATTATCAATTCACAGGTAAGAAATTTAGAATATAGTAATTACTAAGGATACTGGAGACAGAGATTCTTGTGACTCAATCCTTTGTACTTTGTTTTTGACACTGTAAGAAAACAGCAACTTAAAAGTGACATCTCAAATATTTAAGGATTCAGAAACTGAAAGAAGAAATTAGTTCCTGAAATTTTCCATAGGAATGGCCTTAATTTATGGAGTTTGTGAAAAATAAAGCAAGAATTCTTATGCTTACAATAGAGGCCAAAGTAATCAGTGGAATAGAAATCATGTTAGTAACTCAAAGCAACTACTGAAATAGAGAAAAAACATTTAATTTGGAACAACTATTTCTGGATTTGTTAAGAAATATACATCATTTTTTGGTATAGTATTTAAAAACAATAAAAATTTATAATTTGGGTATGGGTTCTTTTGTATTATTACCTGTCTGTTGAGGAAAGGGTGAGACCATTATACAGTCTCTCTGGAGACCCTCATATCCTGGATATGGAAGTAAACCATAAGCAGCTATGGAATTAATGTATCAAACAAAACTGACAGTGCTACATGCAGACCCCCTAAAGGCATTTGTAAGTGCATATTTGCTTATGTCTTCCAGCGAAGATGTTGCAGTAGGCCCTATGTCACTTTTTTTTTAACTTTAAAGACCGACATGAAAAATTTATTTCCCATAGTAAAGAGACATTTGACCAGTAGTGACTGTCTCATAATTAGACTAATTATCGGGACTATATGGGTTACATGTGCGATAAAGATCACTTAAGTAAATCTGCATGCTTTAATTTCAGAATTTCCATATTTTGATTCTAAAATTGAATCAAAAAACTCACTTTTAGTTTCTAAGCCTCCAGAAGGCAGGTTCTGCATGTGCTTATCATCTGCCAGAATTAAATACTTAATGCTATTTGGCAACTAAAGTACTTAACAATTCTCATATGTAATGTTGATATTACTTTGGCAACTAAAATACTTAACAATTCTCATATGTAATGTTGATATTAACTGGTTAGTCGCGTGATTAATTTGGTGGTTTTTCTAGCACATAGTAAGTGCTTATGATCTTTCACTCTCCATTTGAACTTGTTTTAAAGTTGAAAATAGTCTATCACTGGCGTTATCCATTTTTCTAGACTGCCAGGCATGCTTAAGAGGAATGTATTTTTAATAACCTCCAGGTCACCTCTATCTGGCCACTAAAAGCCACTATTTATGGAGCTTGCAATAAGTGTTGGTCTTTTAACATTCATTTTCTTTAATTCTTTACTCAAGGATGTGACGGTGTCACTGTTTTATAGATGAAGATTACAGCCAGTAGACATGGAACCCGTAGTTGAACTATTTTTCACTCACTGTCCTTGCCATCACTAAGATTTTTACAAAGTCTGTGATGATTAGCAAGAAATGGGGGAGAAAAGAGGCTTGTAATTTTAATACAGCAAGAAGGAAGGATGGCTCAAGGGGTGGAGTGGGACCAGAATCCCTAAAGTGCTGAGATATTAGAGCTGATGTTACACTTGTGTTGGTATAGGCATGGGCAAAGTATGCTGACATCTTAGGGGTTTGCCCAGTCCTTATGTTAGCTTCTGATGGGCTACCAAGAAAACTAAGCACAATATGGAAGTGACTTGATACCAACTTATACATGAAAAACTTGAGGATTTGTTTCAAAATACGTGTCACAGCCTCAAAGAATTTATCATCTGGTTAAGGTAGAACATGAATATAATACTTCTGTCTAATTTTAAAGGTGGAGCCTTAGAAACCCCATTTGTTCTGTAGATACTGATTTAGTTATGTTTAAAACACTATTCCTTAAAAGTGCACAGGGGCTATAGCTTTATTTTAAAAGTAAAGAAACCAAATCAACAACATTGATTTGTTTGGAGTAGGTGAGGGTTCCTCAGGAATAGAACTAAGGGTTTTTAAGGCCACTGATCAAAAATTTACCACACTTTTTGTTGAAGGGAAGAAGTAACAAGTCATAAAAAGCGCAAATTTTTTTTTTTAATTTATTAATGCATACAAGAACTGGGGTATAGGCCAGCGGTGTGTGTGTAGGGGTGGTGGTGGTGGTGAAACGATTCACCAGAGAATGGGGAACAACAGGCAGATCTACAGAAATACACTGCTGAGGGGAGAAGTGGGTGAGTCAGGAGAGGTCTGCTGTGCCATGTGGGTAGCCCTGGCTGGCTGGGGATCAAACTCATGTTGCAGTGGCTGTGGACAGCTTCATAGGTTGTGTCTTAACCCCTTGCACCACCAGGGAGGCCGCAAAACTTTTAGCCAAGATTTCATTAAGGGTTAGAGTGCCAAGAGGGAGAATTCACCTGGAGCTGAATTTAAGCCCCCTACTTACTTTTTAAGAATAAATTGGTTAGGTAATCCTAAATCGTGATTTATACGCGTATGAGCCATATCAAGGTTAGTGTACTAGCATTCTTTGTACTGCCTGTGCAACTGAAAAACATCAGGAAGATTTAAAATCCAGTCAGAGGCATCATTAAGGGCTGTGGTTAAACAAAAATTTCTATGAAGGTACTTGCAAATGAATTGTAAGGTGCTTGCCAATCCCCTCCCCCAGTCCCCCACGACCCCCCATAACTGCGATTAATATAAATAAACTGAGTAGAGTATGGGTTAACAATTAGGAAACACTTTCCCAAAAATGTCGTTAGGGCAAATTCTGGGAGTTGGGGTTTGGGGTAAGGAGGGAGAAAATCAAGAGGGTAATGGCTTCTGGTGGTGCGTATTTAGGCACATCCCTAAATTTTTAGAAGAGAATGTGGCTAACTGGAAGTGACAAACGTCTCAGATTACCATTTTTGTAACATGGGTGCATTACAGAAGAGGCGACCGAGTACAAACTAGGATCAGAGATTTCACAAATGCTTGTTGAACCCTACTCTCTACCCGGCCTCAGGCATCCAACATCTCAACGAGTTTATAAAATTGGGAGAGCAGACGGTAAACAAAAGGAAATTATCGGCATTTTAGTGTTAAAATGATACGGAGAAAAACGGGTGTGTGTTTGGGGTTTCCCAATTTTAGGGTAATCAGGGAGCATCATATAACTGAATAACCGCCTGAAGAACAGTTGGCGAAGGGGCCTCTCTCCCTTTTGGGGAGACCCCAGAAAACAGACCGTAGCGTGGTATTATATTACCAGAATTTACAGCAGAATAAGGCCCAAGAGATGCCCCGGCGGGCGAATTCCTGCGAGTCAAAATGTTTCCCAAGCACAACTCGGCGAACCGGGGCCAGCTGGTAAAGTCCAGCCACCAAAAATTCAATGGCAATTCCCCGCGACCCCCACTCCACTCCCAGCTCCGTCTGGACCGCGCCCTCAAACCGTGGGTAGGCGGAGCTTTTACTGCTCCGCCCCGTGACCGGCGCGCATGCGGAGGGGTCAAAGGTTAGAGGTTGTGAAGCAGTCATGGCGGCGCTGTGTCGGACCCGTGCCGTGACGGCCGAGAGTCATTTTCTACGAGTGCTTCTCCTCTCCCGGCCCTGTCGAAGTACAGGCACCGAAAGTAGCTCCGGGAGCGATAGTTCTGATTCCTCAGAGTCTAAAGCGCGCCCAGGCGGCTTTGCGAGCGCTTTACAGCGGCACTCGGAGCTGCAGCGGAAGACGGAGCCCGGGCGGATGACAGTGAGTCGCGGGAACTACGCCAGATGCGCTATGGGCGGGGCCAGAAGTGGGGGCGGAGCCTGCGTGGGCGGGGCGATCGCCAGACGGGAACTCGGCCGGGTTAGGAGGTGGGGCTGGGAGGCGGGGATTGGGGTGGAGCCTCGTGTAGGTGCTGGAGCGTGCGGTGGAGCGTGGAGAGCCCGGGTGGGGAGGGACTCCCCAGGCGTCTGGCTGCAGGCGCTGGTTACTTGGAACAGAGCATGGTTGGTGTTTTTCCTTCGGGTGAAAAGTACACTTGTACGATATTCACCTGCTGCACTTGTGCTGTCCACAGTCCATGCGAGCGACCGCCTGGCTGCAAGGGAAACCAGCTAGAAGCGCTGCCTTCGGGGGCGGGTGCTGTCTAGGGCGACCAGAGGCCGGTTGGACTCACCGGAGAGCAGGACTGTGTCTTTCTTGTTCTACACAGTAGCTCCAGCTTGGAACCTTTTGAGGTTTTCGTAAACCATTGAGGTGAATGAGAGAATTACTGTCTCTGTGAACTTGTGCAAGTGATTTATCCCGTCACTGCTTCACCTTCCTTTTCTGTAAATGAGATTTTTTTTTTTTAAGTTGGATAAACTATCCATCTGTCTCAGCAATACTTTTGTAAAATATAACCGAATTATTCGATAATGAAGACATAAACAAAGTCAGAAGTTTCTTTTTATTATTAGACATGAAATTGGATGCCTGGTAGTAGTAACATATAAAAATTAACTCAATTTCTGTACTTAGTGTCTATGGCATCAATACCAAACTTTTCATAAACTGGTAGTGTTCTGGATTATAGAAAATTGCCTGCAATTTAGTATATAACCAGAAGCTGCCATTATTGATGGAAATTTCTTACGATCAGAGGATTAGGAGAAGCCTGGTGTAGTTGGCTTTCTGTTTGCTGTCATAACAAATTACCACAAATTTAGTAGGTGAAAACAACACTTTTTTATTTTGAGTGCTGTCAGTGAGAAGTCTGATGGGTGCTGAGTTTAGACTGAGCTAAAATCAAGGCATTGGCAAGAACTTTCCTGTAGTTTCTAGGTGGGATTCGTTTCCTTACCTTTTCCAGCTTAAAGAGCGCATACTCACTTTCTTGGCTCATAGTGCTCTTTTCTGTCTTCAAAGATAGCAATAGGTTGAGTCCCTTTCATATTACATTACTATTGCCTCTCTTTTGCCTGCCCTTCTAGGTTTATGACCCCTTAGTACATTGGGCCTGCCCAGACCATCCAGCGCAATGTCCTTATTTTCAGTAATTTTATTTTGCATTTTGCATCTGCAATTTTATTCCCCTTTGCTATGAAAAGTAAAATTCACAAATTCTATAGATTACAATATAGACATCTCAGGGGGCACATAATTCTGTCTCCGATACCTGGAGAAGTTGTAAAATCCTAAGAGAATGCCAGTGACTGACTTGAAAGTGTCCTAAGTGATGACTTTTAGGTCCATTGTTGGTAGAAATCTTTGAGAAGTAAGTACTGTTAAGTAGGAGTCATATAACAAGAGATAGAGTCTGAGAAATGTACAATTTTGTCATTGTGTGCACATCACAGAGTATAATTACATAAACCTAGATGGTGAAGTCTGCCATACCCAGGCTGTCTATAGGAAACACTGGGTTATTTTGGTTTATACAATATATGTGGTATGACTTAGAGCATCATAAGAACAGTAAGTGTTTGAAGCTCAGAATACTTCCCCTTTCACACTTACTGTGTTTTTCCAGGAGGAGACTAGGTTGTAGTCTTCATTTCACTAACTCTTAGCTTTGGAGCATTTCCAGTTACATCTTCCTAAAATTTAATGAGATGATCTTTTTGCTTTGCTTGAGAATCTTGGAAACCTTCATTCATGTTGCTGAGAAGTACACATCTCCCCATCAGTGGCCTGTGCCATTCAAGACCCAGTCCAGTGCAGAGGTAAAGCTTAGACTTAGTTTTAAGATGACTTAGTCATCTTAAAATCCTCTCAGCTTAGTGACTGATGCCGAGTCAGCTTTAACACAATACAATTTAGCTTTTATGTGCACCTAGCCATTTCTCCTCCAGCTTCCTGCCTTCCCCAGTGTAGTCACACAGAGATGCTTCCAGGATCATATGGTTCTTTGAATGAAATTCCACTATTTCATTAAGTATTTAATAAGAATTAACCTTTTAAAACTGAACAAGTTATTCTGTTTGTCAATTTAAGGGCATATTAACATACTAACTTGTGGCTACAGAATAAAGTGTGCTACTTCAGGGTAAAGCTTTTCCTGACTTTTTTCCCTACTAGAATATAAATTTTAGAGGGCAGAGACCTCATCTGTCTTGTTCTGTTATGTCCCCAGCATCTGGCACAGTGCATGGTGTTAAGTGGGCAGTCAATGTTTGCCAAATGTGTGAATGAACAATATACATAACACATTGAACTTCAGTTATGCCTGGACTGTCTTTGAATTGAAATCTGTGTGTGACTGCACATAAGTGTACAAGTGAGAATAGTTCAGGCTTCAGCTTATCAGTTAAATGCTCTCATTCAGAATAATTGAACAAAAAATTGTAACAGTGATAAGAAAACTGAAAATACCACATTAGTTTTAATTTTAGTGTTCATTGGAAGTTTTCTGCCTAACATTTATGTGGAAGAGTGCTTATTCTGCCTTCATTTATGTGGAAGAGTGTGAGCAGTTATTAGGTGTTGACATTCAACTTTGTGAAGAAAATTTCACTTTTTGAAGTTTCTGGATCTACTTAATTAAAGGAATATCCTAAGATTACAAGGTGAATAAAGTTCATCTTTATTGTGTCATCAGGATTTTTGAAAAAAAAATTACAAAATAATAAAGTAATATTTCCTTACTTTAAAAAAATTTTTTAAGTAGCACTGAAGCTCATGTGAACTGTAAAAGCCTCCTTTTCCTTTTCCTCACTTCTCTAGGTAGGATTCTTTAGTACACACCACCAGATAATTTATATGTGTGTATGTGTACATATTTGTACATATAAATATATATTGGTATACCACTCTCCAGCATACACACACGTATGTATACACATGTAATATTTTATCTTATGAAGACATCTTCTTTCCTTCAGTCTCATGAACCAGCCACTGCTAGCCTAAAATTTTTTTCTGTAGTTTCCTTACCTCTCTCAGCCTTCAGTTAGCTCTGGCTTAGGCTTTGTTTTAAGGGAATGTTGTGACTCATTTAGTCTTCTATCCAGACCACTATAACTTTCTCCATATCAGTAATAGGCTGTTTTTCTTTCTTACCCTTTGTGAATTCACAGGAGGAGCACCACTGATTCCTTCAAGAACTTTTCCTTTGCATTCACATAAAGGCCAGTTGGTGCAGGAGGCCTAGCATTTGGCTATCTTGGCTTTTGACATGGCCTCCTTGCTAAGCTTTATCATTTCTAGCTTTTGATTTCAAGTAAGAGTCTTGCACCTCTTTATTTTACTTGAACACTTAGAGGCCATTGCAGGGTTAATTAGCCTTATTTCAATATTGTTTCAGGGAGTAGGAATGCCTGAGAAGAGGGAGGGAGCGAGATGGGAAAACAGTTGGTGGGAGGAGCAGTTAGAACACACCATTTATCCGTTAATTTCCCAGTCTTACATGGACGTGATTCGAGATGCCCCAAAATAATTACAGTGGTAGTATCAGAGATCACTGATCACAGATCAACAGAACAGATGTAGTAATTAATGAAATGTTTGAAATATTGTGATAATTACCAAAATGTGATGCAGAGGCATGAAATGAGTACATGGTCTATAGGCTAGCTCAAAGCAGGGTTGCCAGCAAACCTCAGTCTATCAAAAATGCGATCTGTGAAGTGCAATAAAGGTGAACCACAATAAAACAAGGAATGCTTGTATTTAGACACTTAGTACAAGTGCCTAATACTTAGTAAGCACTCAATATATTTTTTTAATTAATTTATTTATTTATATAAGCACTGGTACAGTCAGGAGGGTAAGAGAACTCACTAGAGCCAGAGAAGGGAAAAGAACAAGCAGACTGATAAAACACACTGCTGAGGGGAGCAGCGGGCACAGGAGGAGAGGTCTGTTGCGCCATGTGGGACCCTCGCTGGTGGCCAGGGATCAAACCTACGCTGCAGAGGCCGTGAGCAGCTTTGCAGCCCCATGCTCAACCGCTGCACCACCAGGGGAGGCCCAACACTCAATATATTTATTTGCTGCTACTGAAAATCATCAGGAAAACTGATTGTATTATTTTTGGTGGGCAGAAACTATGCCTATTTTGTTCAGTGTCATTTTCTTTAAAAATCAAGTTGTATTGATTTGTCATTCATTTACAAAACTATATAATTTTGGGAATACAAACTCACAACTCAATATGGGCACATGCTTTACTGGCCCTCCATTGCCAATATCACATACCACCTCTATTCTTTCTTTTCTTCTCTCCTCCCCCCCCCACAACCACATTTTCTACAGAATCTAGGGTTATTTGTATAGCATTTTACCAGTGTGTTTTCTTTGGTTATTTATATTCCACAAAAGAGTGAAACCACGTGGTAAATTATCTTTCACTTTCTGACTTACTTCACTTAGCATGATCGCAAGATTCATCTATATTGTCCCGAAGGCATTATTTAATTTTTTAAAATAGCTGACTATTTCTTTTAATATATGCTCTAAAATTGAATTGTCCAGTATACTGTTGAGGGGTATTTAGGTTGGTTCATAACTTGACTTCTGTGAATAATACTAACATAGTATTATTAGGTACATAGGAGTACATAAATCTTTTCATAGTGTTTTATATTTTTTGGGTGAATACCTAGGAGGTAGAGGCTCTCCATACTGTTTTCCATAGGGGTTGCACCAGTTTGCATTCCTCCCACCCTTAACCAAGAATTCCTTTTTTTTCCTGCACCTCACCAGCATTTGTTTCCAGTCTTTTTGATAAAGACTATTCTCATAGGGTTGAGGTGATACCTCATTGTGCTTCTGATTTTAGCAAG